TGAGAAATTTCTTGTTTTATCAGAATTATTGCACTTTCATGTCAACTCATATGCAGGGTTTATTTGCCAGAAGTACTGTAACTCACAATTGTGAAAAATAAGTAAGAATTGTGAAATAAGTCAGTTACCGTTATGTTTTATCCCTTGGCAAAACAAACTGCGAGGAAAAAAAAGTCTGCACCCTGCTATATAAAATATTGAGGAACCCAGGTTTGCAACTGGAGCTTGGCAAGTAGTTCAGTGAAATGGCTTGGGCAGAAGCTTGGCTTCTTTAGTTCAAATCTAGCACCAATCAGAATGAACAACCTTGCTAAAGCAAAAATGGAACTTTGGTTTAGTAGTGTGGCCCAATAAATAAAACCAAGAACAGTCATGTAAGATCCGACTCGTTGAAAATCAATACCAATTTATTAAATCTAAATTCACATGACCAGGTTAACTTCTCCACTAGACACCACAGTTTGCCCACTAGAGACGGTCTTGATGGGAGTGTCCCTTCCTGTAAAAGAAGTGTTAGAAGCATGAGGACTATTTAAATACCAAATTCTCACAGTTCCCAAGTCGGTTTACAGCAAGCACTCACTTTTCCTAGTGCAGCTTTGCTCACAGGAGCCAGAAGAGGGATGGCACACTGCTGTACTACAGTGGATGAAGATCTAACAGAGGGGGAAAGGGTTTAGCCATAGAATTCACTATAAAAAGTACTAATATTAAGGGTTGAGGTAAGGCTGCAGAGCATACGGTTTCCTGCAGAGGAGCCAGTGATGATGGATCAACAAATGTGAACATCTTCACAATAAAGCGCTTGTAGTGGGTTGGGAACTGAAGACCAGACGATCCAGCCACTGGAACCAATGTGGTCAGGTAACGATCATCCTGGTAAGGGCATCTGAAAGGCAAAGAGGGAATCAGAAACACCTTACAGCACACTAGATGGATAAAGACTGGCCTTACTCACCCATCAACCAGAAGGTCCCATTGGGGTAGACTGAGTGGACTGGGGGTTGATGTCGCCCAGCAATGTCCCAGCATCAGGACAATGTTGGGGTCGGTCCTCTCCAAAACGTGCACCTCAACATACACAGGCTCCCGCAGGACTTTTGTAACAGGATAATCAGCATCACTGTAGTAGGAAGTGTACGCCTCGTCCCCTGAGGAAGAATAGTGTTTAACCAGAAACCGCTGCAACCTGGAGCTTTAGAAAGGCTTTAGGCACACACTTGGGTCAAACACTTACCTTCTGCACAGCCTTTGGTGACACACTGACCATTTGCTAGTCTAAGCTCCACCCTGAGGGGTCCAGGAGCAGCTACTGGTGGAGGTGGAGGAACAGTGTTGACCTCCACAACCAGAGCTTCCACAGAAGTACCAGAGTACCTACACTGGAAGAGAAGCCTGGAAAACAAACAGTGAGCTTGTAGCATTTGCCAAGGATTAACAAACGTGCTAAAGCATACGTCACCCACTCAAAATGGCTGTCCCTTGTGATGGAACCAAGTGGTCCGATACCCACTTCATACGAGGAGGTCATTCTGTTTTCATACACCACATATCCACTGTCCTCCTGCAAAGAGTAACACTGTTGGCATCCAGTCCATTCTAAGCCATGCAGAAAAAAACCACAAGCCGCTACTCACTGTCATGCTCGTGCCGCACGCAGTGACAGGGAACTGGTATATAGCAAAGAAAGGTGTGGATCCCACAGGACTGCAAGCTGGATCATTTCCACCCAGGAGACGGACTGAATCCAGGCTCAAACGAGGCAGCGTGACATCTCTAGCCACCACTACCACAAACTGACCATCTCTTATACACTGGACAGTCACTGGAACAAGGTACAAGAGCTGGTTATTGATGAGGATCAGTTTAACAAGAAACACCTTTACATTGACTCAACACTCTTACCGGCCTTCCCATAGTAACACTGCTGTCCGTTAAAGCAGCAGTTAATAGCTGCACACTCAGCACCACTGATACCAGGTGGTCCACATTGGATCTGCTCATAATCAGCTACAGCACATTTGTCAAGGGGCCCTGCCTGTGCCACTGGCTGTTTAGGCTTCAACTGCTGAGGAAACTGTTGACTAGCTTGCTGTTGAACTGACTGATGAAACTGTTGACTAGCTTGCTGTTGAACTGGCTTAGAAAACTGTTGACTAGCTTGCCATTGAGCTGACTGAGGATACTGTTGACCAGCTTGCTGTTGAACTGGCTTAGAAAACTGTTGACTAGCTTGCTGTTGAACTGGCTTAGAAAACTGTTGACTAGCTTGCTGTTGAACTGACTGAGGAAACTGTTGACTAGCTTGCTGTTGAACTGTCTGAGGATACTGTTGACCAGCTTGCTGTTGAACGGACTGAGGAAACTGCTGACTAGCTTGCTGTTGAACTGGCTTAGAAAACTGTTGACTAGCTTGCTGTTGAACTGGCTTAGGATACTGTTGATTAGCTTGCCGTTGAACTGACTGAGGAAACTGCTGAGGAAACTGTTGACCAGCTTGCTGTTGAAACCGCTGGTCAGTTTGCTGGAACATCAGAGCTTGAGGACTTTGGGGCAGATTACTCCACTTTGGAACGGCATGGCAGAAAGCACAGAACCAAACACAAAGTGCCAGAGACTGAACAACACACCAACTTCCTGCCATTGTTCAACAGCTAGTCACACTGTTGAGATGCTGCCCTTTGGTCTTTTTGTACTCTACAGATTTTGGCTAATTAACGATAATCCCTCCCTTTTCATTAACAGTCATGATTCTCCAGACTTGCATGAGTGTGGAGTTTATGCAACTGGGTGTTTCCATTGGTTCTTAAGGTTCAACTGTCCTTGTTTTTCCACCCTTTTGGAACATACATAGAATGCACATATTGAGCTTATTTCAGAATAGTTTACTAGTACTATTTCTGCCGTTCAGAATTCAGCCTTTGTTTTATGCTTCATCCTGTGAATATAATAGTGGTAGTGGTGGGCAGATCGAGGCTTCGTAAAACACTGAAAAAAAGTTGAAGCAAATGTGCCGTATTTTGTCGAGGCTTCGAAACAATCCGACACCTGTCTCCATGGTGACCCCTAGTGGTCAGAACAGTGTAAATGCAACAAAAACCCAGGCCAAACATGCATTTGAAACCCCTTTTACAAATCTATTGCAAATGTTTTATTGAAAGTAAAATCTTTCAAATGTAATTATCTAATCATCTAACAAGATTATCAAGTGTATATATGTTCTTTTATCAATTGTCAGGGTTTGTTTTGTTAGTTCTATGAATGGCTCAGCTAAACAGGCCAATAAGACTATTAACTACCATTATTCATTTGAATTATAATGTCTAATTAAATAGTCTACAAATGTATAAAACTGATCAGAGATCAGGTAAAACCCACAGACACTTGTTCAATGGTTCTCAGTGAATCCTCATGATTCCTGGGTTGACAGAGATCATCGCCCCCAGCGACGAACCATTGAAATTCCGAAGTGTTCCAAAACGTTTCGAAACAGTTATGACGTATTGAAGCCTCGTTTACTGAAATCACGTGACTCCGGCAGTTTGATACACGCTCCGAACCATTGATTCGGAACAAACGATTTGTAAAGGCCTCAAAGCTTCATGAAGCAGTGTTTTGAAATTCCCATCACTAAATAGTGGATGTTTTGGCTATTCTGGCCTCCAGTCTTAAGTGTCACAAGATCCTTTAGAAATCATTCTAATATGCTGATTTGCTGCTCAAGAAACATTTCTGATTGTTATCAATGCTTTGCCACTGTCTGCCAGCATTGAGTTTGTGACTGAGATTGAGACTCACTTCCCTGACTATGTTCACCGTGGTCTGGAGATGCACACAAACATCTATCATTAGAGCGAAGCTCTCGGTGACAACAGCCAGCTCAAACTCTCCATTCCAGCTCCGCATGGGCCAATTGAGCACATCAGCGTCACAAGACATCTGGAAATGGATTATATTAATGCAATAAAGGGATTTAAAAGCCCTTCACACAACAAGTAGGGCTGCACAATGATGGTTAAACTGATAATCATGATTATTCTCATTTGAGAAATTTCTTGTTTTATCAGAATTATTGCACTTTCATGTCAACACAAATCAAGAGAACGTCAACTCATATGCAGGGTTTATTTGCCAGAAGTACTGTAACTCACAATTGTGAAAAATAAGTAAGAATTGTGAAATAAGTCACCGTTATGTTTTATCCCTTGGCAAAACAAACTGCGAGGAAAAAAAAGTCTGCACCCTGCTATATAAAATATTGAGGAACCCAGGTTTGCAACTGGAGCTTGGCAAGTAGTTCAGTGAAATGGCTTGGGCAGAAGCTTGGCTTCTTTAGTTCAAATCTAGCACCAATCAGAATGAACAACCTTGCTAAAGCAAAAATGGAACTTTGGTTTAGTAGTGTGGCCCAATAAATAAAACCAAGAACAGTCATGTAAGATCCGACTCGTTGAAAATCAATACCAATTTATTAAATCTAAATTCACATGACCAGGTTAACTTCTCCACTAGACACCACAGTTTGCCCACTAGAGACGGTCTTGATGGGAGTGTCCCTTCCTGTAAAAGAAGTGGTAGAAGCATGAGGAGCATTTAAATACCAAATTCTCACAGTTCCCAAGTCGGTTTACAGCAAGCACTCACTTTTCCTAGTGCAGCTTTGCTCACAGGAGCCAGAAGAGGGATGGCACACTGCTGTACTACAGTGGATGAAGATCTAACAGAGGGGGAAAGGGTTTAGCCATAGAATTCACTATAAAAAGTACTAATATTAAGGGTTGAGGTAAGGCTGCGGAGCATACGGTTTCCTGCAGAGGAGCCAGTGATGATGGATCAACAAATGTGAACATCTTCACAATAAAGCGCTTGTAGTGGGTTGGGAACTGAAGACCAGACGATCCAGCCACTGGAACCAATGTGGTCAGGTAACGATCATCCTGGTAAGGGCATCTGAAAGGCAAAGAGGGAATCAGAAACACCTTACAGCACACTAGATGGATAAAGACTGGCCTTACTCACCCATCAACCAGAAGGTCCCATTGGGGTAGACTGAGTGGACTGGGGGTTGATGTCGCCCAGCAATGTCCCAGCATCAGGACAATGTTGGGGTCGGTCCTCTCCAAAACGTGCACCTCAACATACACAGGCTCCCGCAGGACTTTTGTAACAGGATAATCAGCATCACTGTAGTAGGAAGTGTACGCCTCGTCCCCTGAGGAAGAATAGTGTTTAACCAGAAACCGCTGCAACCTGGAGCTTTAGGCACACACTTGGGTCAAACACTTACCTTCTGCACAGCCTTTGGTGACACACTGACCATTTGCTAGTCTAAGCTCCACCCTGAGGGGTCCAGGAGCAGCTACTGGTGGAGGTGGAGGAACAGTGTTGACCTCCACAACCAGAGCTTCCACAGAAGTACCAGAGTACCTACACTGGAAGAGAAGCCTGGAAAACAAACAGTGAGCTTGTAGCATTTGCCAAGGATTAACAAACGTGCTAAAGCATACGTCACCCACTCAAAATGGCTGTCCCTTGTGATGGAACCAAGTGGTCCGATACCCACTTCATACGAGGAGGTCATTCTGTTTTCATACACCACATATCCACTGTCCTCCTGCAAAGAGTAACACTGTTGGCATCCAGTCCATTCTAAGCCATGCAGAACAAAACCACAAGCAGCTACTCACTGTCATGCTCGTGCCGCACGCAGTGACAGGGAACTGGTATATAGCAAAGAAAGGTGTGGATCCCACAGGACTGCAAGCTGGATCATTTCCACCCAGGAGACGGACTGAATCCAGGCTCAAACGAGGCAGCGTGACATCTCTAGCCACCACTACCACAAACTGACCATCTCTTATACACTGGACAGTCACTGGAACAAGGTACAAGAGCTGGTTATTGATGAGGATCAGTTTAACAAGAAACACCTTTACATTGACTCAACACTCTTACCGGCCTTCCCATAGTAACACTGCTGTCCGTTAAAGCAGCAGTTAATAGCTGCACACTCAGCACCACTGATACCAGGTGGTCCACATTGGATCTGCTCATAATCAGCTACAGCACATTTGTCAAGGGGCTCTGCCTGTGCCACTGGCTGTTTAGGCTTCAACTGCTGAGGAAACTGTTGACTAGCTTGCTGTTGAACTGACTGAGGAAACTGTTGACTAGCTTGCTGTTGAACTGGCTTAGAAAACTGTTGACTAGCTTGCCATTGAGCTGACTGAGGAAACTGTTGACTAGCTTGCTGTTGAACTGACTGAGGAAACTGTTGACTAGCTTGCTGTTGAACTGACTGAGGAAACTGTTGACTAGCTTGCTGTTGAACTGACTGAGGAAACTGTTGACTAGCTTGCTGTTGAACTGGCTTAGAAAACTGTTGACTAGCTTGCCATTGAGCTGACTGAGGAAACTGTTGACTAGCTTGCTGTTGAACTGACTGAGGAAACTGTTGACTAGCTTGCTGTTGAACTGACTGAGGAAACTGTTGACTAGCTTGCTGTTGAACTGGCTTAGAAAACTGTTGACTAGCTTGCCATTGAGCTGACTGAGGATACTGTTGACCAGCTTGCTGTTGAACTGGCTTAGAAAACTGTTGACCAGCTTGCTGTTGAACTGGCTTAGAAAACTGTTGACTAGCTTGCTGTTGAACTGACTGAGGAAACTGTTGACTAGCTTGCTGTTGAACTGTCTGAGGATACTGTTGACCAGCTTGCTGTTGAACTGGCTTAGGATACTGTTGATTAGCTTGCCGTTGAACTGACTGAGGAAACTGCTGAGGAAACTGTTGACCAGCTTGCTGTTGAAACCGCTGGTCAGTTTGCTGGAACATCAGAGCTTGAGGACTTTGGGGCAGATTACTCCACTTTGGAACGGCATGGCAGAAAGCACAGAACCAAACACAAAGTGCCAGAGACTGAACAACACACCAACTTCCTGCCATTGTTCAACAGCTAGTCACACTGTTGAGATGCTGCCCTTTGGTCTTTTTGTACTCTACAGATTTTGGCTAATTAACGATAATCCCTCCCTTTTCATTAACAGTCATGATTCTCCAGACTTGCATGAGTGTGGAGTTTATGCAACTGGGTGTTTCCATTGGTTCTTAAGATTCAACTGTCCTTGTTTTTCCACCCTTTTGGAACATACATAGAATGCACATATTGAGCTTATTTCAGAATAGTTTACTAGTACTATTTCTGCCGTTCAGAATTCAGCCTTTGTTTTATGCTTCATCCTGTGAATATAATAGTGGTAGTGGTGGGCAGATCGAGGCTTCGTAAAACACTGAAAAAGTTGAAGCAAATGTGCCGTATTTTGTCGAGGCTTCGAAACAATCCGACACCTGTCTCCATGGTGACCCCTAGTGGTCAGAACAGTGTAAATGCAACAAAAACCCAGGCCAAACATGCATTTAAAACCCCTTTTACAAATCTATTGCAAATGTTTTATTGAAAGTAAAATCTTTCAAATGTAATTATCTAATCATCTAACAAGATTATCAAGTGTATATATGTTCTTTTATCAATTGTCAGGGTTTGTTTTGTTAGTTCTATGAATGGCTCAGCTAAACAGGCCAATAAGACTATTAACTACCATTATTCATTTGAATTATAATGTCTAATTAAATAGTCTACAAATGTATAAAACTGATCAGAGATCAGGTAAAACCCACAGACACTTGTTCAATGGTTCTCAGTGAATCCTCATGATTCCTGGGTTGACAGAGATCATCGCCCCCAGCGACGAACCATTGAAATTCCGAAGTGTTCCAAAACGTTTCGAAACAGTTATGACGTATTGAAGCCTCGTTTACTGAAATCACGTGACTCCGGCAGTTTGATACACGCTCCGAACCATTGATTCGGAACAAACGATTTGTAAAGGCCTCAAAGCTTCATGAGGCAGTGTTTTGAAATTCCCATCACTAAATAGTGGATGTTTTGGCTATTCTGGCCTCCAGTCTTAAGTGTCACAAGATCCTTTAGAAATCATTCTAATATGCTGATTTGCTGCTCAAGAAACATTTCTGATTGTTATCAATGCTTTGCCACTGTCTGCCAGCATTGAGTTTGTGACTGAGACTCACTTCCCTGACTATGTTCACCGTGGTCTGGAGATGCACACAAACATCTATCATTAGAGCGAAGCTCTCGGTGACAACAGCCAGCTCAAACTATCCATTCCAGCTCCGCATGGGCCAATTGAGCTCATCAGCGTCACAAGACATCTGGAAATGGATTATATTAATGCAATAAAGGGATTTAAAAGCCCTTCACACAACAAGTAGGGCTGCACAATGATGGTTAAACTGATATTCATGATTATTCTCATTTGAGAAATTTCTTGTTTTATCAGAATTATTGCACTTTCATGTCAACACAAATCAAGAGAACGTCAACTCATAGGCAGGGTTTATTTGCCAGAAGTACTGTAACTCACAATTGTGAAAAATAAGTAAGAATTGTGAAATAAGTCACAGTTACCGTTATGTTTTATCCCTTGGCAAAACAAACTGCGAGGAAAAAAAAAGTCTGCACCCTGCTATATAAAATATTGAGGAACCCAGGTTTGCAACTGGAGCTTGGCAAGTAGTTCAGTGAAATGGCTTGGGCAGAAGCTTGGCTTCTTTAGTTCAAATCTAGCACCAATCAGAATGAACAACCTTGCTAAAGCAAAAATGGAACTTTGGTTTAGTAGTGTGGCCCAATAAATAAAACCAAGAACAGTCATGTAAGATCCGACTCGTTGAAAATCAATACCAATTTATTAAATCTAAATTCACATGACCAGGTTAACTTCTCCACTAGACACCACAGTTTGCCCACTAGAGACGGTCTTGATGGGAGTGTCCCTTCCTGTAAAAGTGGTAGAAGCATGAGGAGCATTTAAATACCAAATTCTCACAGTTCCCAAGTCGGTTTACAGCAAGCACTCACTTTTCCTAGTGCAGCTTTGCTCACAGGAGCCAGAAGAGGGATGGCACACTGCTGTACTACAGTGGATGAAGATCTAACAGAGGGGGAAAGGGTTTAGCCATAGAATTCACTATAAAAAGTACTAATATTAAGGGTTGAGGTAAGGCTGCGGAGCATACGGTTTCCTGCAGAGGAGCCAGTGATGATGGATCAACAAATGTGAACATCTTCACAATAAAGCGCTTGTAGTGGGTTGGGAACTGAAGACCAGACGATCCAGCCACTGGAACCAATGTGGTCAGGTAACGATCATCCTGGTAAGGGCATCTGAAAGGCAAAGAGGGAATCAGAAACACCTTACAGCACACTAGATGGATAAAGACTGGCCTTACTCACCCATCAACCAGAAGGTCCCATTGGGGTAGACTGAGTGGACTGGGGGTTGATGTCGCCCAGCAATGTCCCAGCATCAGGACAATGTTGGGGTCGGTCCTCTCCAAAACGTGCACCTCAACATACACAGGCTCCCGCAGGACTTTTGTAACAGGATAATCAGCATCACTGTAGTAGGAAGTGTACGCCTCGTCCCCTGAGGAAGAATAGTGTTTAACCAGAAACCACTGCAACCTGGAGCTTTAGAAAGGCTTTAGGCACACACTTGGGTCAAACACTTACCTTCTGCACAGCCTTTGGTGACACACTGACCATTTGCTAGTCTAAGCTCCACCCTGAGGGGTCCAGGAGCAGCTACTGGTGGAGGTGGAGGAACAGTGTTGACCTCCACAACCAGAGCTTCCACAGAAGTACCAGAGTACCTACACTGGAAGAGAAGCCTGGAAAACAAACAGTGAGCTTGTAGCATTTGCCAAGGATTAACAAACGTGCTAAAGCATACGTCACCCACTCAAAATGGCTGTCCCTTGTGATGGAACCAAGTGGTCCGATACCCACTTCATACGAGGAGGTCATTCTGTTTTCATACACCACATATCCACTGTCCTCCTGCAAAGAGTAACACTGTTGGCATCCAGTCCATTCTAAGCCATGCAGAACAAAACCACAAGCAGCTACTCACTGTCATGCTCGTGCCGCACGCAGTGACAGGGAACTGGTATATAGCAAAGAAAGGTGTGGATCCCACAGGACTGCAAGCTGGATCATTTCCACCCAGGAGACGGACTGAATCCAGGCTCAAACGAGGCAGCGTGACATCTCTAGCCACCACTACCACAAACTGACCATCTCTTATACACTGGACAGTCACTGGAACAAGGTACAAGAGCTGGTTATTGATGAGGATCAGTTTAACAAGAAACACCTTTACATTGACTCAACACTCTTACCGGCCTTCCCATAGTAACACTGCTGTCCGTTAAAGCAGCAGTTAATAGCTGCACACTCAGCACCACTGATACCAGGTGGTCCACATTGGATCTGCTCATAATCAGCTACAGCACATTTGTCAAGGGGCTCTGCCTGTGCCACTGGCTGTTTAGGCTTCAACTGCTGAGGAAACTGTTGACTAGCTTGCTGTTGAACTGACTGAGGAAACTGTTGACTAGCTTGCTGTTGAACTGGCTTAGAAAACTGTTGACTAGCTTGCCATTGAGCTGACTGAGGATACTGTTGACCAGCTTGCTGTTGAACTGGCTTAGAAAACTGTTGACTAGCTTGCTGTTGAACTGGCTTAGAAAACTGTTGACTAGCTTGCTGTTGAACTGGCTGAGGAAACTGTTGACTAGCTTGCTGTTGAACTGTCTGAGGATACTGTTGACCAGCTTGCTGTTGAACGGACTGAGGAAACTGCTGACTAGCTTGCTGTTGAACTGGCTTAGAAAACTGTTGACTAGCTTGCTGTTGAACTGGCTTAGGATACTGTTGATTAGCTTGCCGTTGAACTGACTGAGGAAACTGCTGAGGAAACTGTTGACCAGCTTGCTGTTGAAACCGCTGGTCAGTTTGCTGGAACATCAGAGCTTGAGGACTTTGGGGCAGATTACTCCACTTTGGAACGGCATGGCAGAAAGCACAGAACCAAACACAAAGTGCCAGAGACTGAACAACACACCAACTTCCTACCATTGTTCAACAGCTAGTCACACTGTTGAGATGCTGCCCTTTGGTCTTTTTGTACTCTACAGATTTTGGCTAATTAACGATAATCCCTCCCTTTTCATTAACAGTCATGATTCTCCAGACTTGCATGAGTGTGGAGTTTATGCAACTGGGTGTTTCCATTGGTTCTTAAGGTTCAACTGTCCTTGTTTTTCCACCCTTTTGGAACATACATAGAATGCACATATTGAGCTTATTTCAGAATAGTTTACTAGTACTATTTCTGCCGTTCAGAATTCAGCCTTTGTTTTATGCTTCATCCTGTGAATATAATAGTGGTAGTGGTGGGCAGATCGAGGCTTCGTAAAACACTGAAAAAGTTGAAGCAAATGTGCCGTATTTTGTCGAGGCTTCGAAACAATCCGACACCTGTCTCCATGGTGACCCCTAGTGGTCAGAACAGTGTAAATGCAACAAAAACCCAGGCCAAACATGCATTTAAAACCCCTTTTACAAAGCTATTGCAAATGTTTTATTGAAAGTAAAATCTTTCAAATGTAATTATCTAATCATCTAACAAGATTATCAAGTGTATATATGTTCTTTTATCAATTGTCAGGGTTTGTTTTGTTAGTTCTATGAATGGCTCAGCTAAACAGGCCAATAAGACTATTAACTACCATTATTCATTTGAATTATAATGTCTAATTAAATAGTCTACAAATGTATAAAACTGATCAGAGATCAGGTAAAACCCACAGACACTTGTTCAATGGTTCTCAGTGAATCCTCATGATTCCTGGGTTGACAGAGATCATCGCCCCCAGCGACGAACCATTGAAATTCCGAAGTGTTCCAAAACGTTTCGAAACAGTTATGACGTATTGAAGCCTCGTTTACTGAAATCACGTGACTCCGGCAGTTTGATACACGCTCCGAACCATTGATTCGGAACAAACGATTTGTAAAGGCC